TTTCCGCCCAATACATCCAAAGAACGCGGATAACTACTAAACCATCTAATAACTCAACATTAAATTACATAACCCTAATTATTGAGAAATGTCTTTGAGAAAGAAAAAAAATATATGTACATATGTACATGCATTCATATATGTATTTAGCAGATTTATTTCACAGAAATAAATGGTACTAATCTTAGTTGATTATCGGAATATTTATTGATTTAAAATCTACTATTTTTTACACTTTTACAAAATTACGTGTTATCGCTTACGATGTCCTCCAGAAAAGAAGAAAACAACGCAGAGCAAAAAAGAATGTAAAAAAATTAAGATCGAGAAAAAGAGTTTGGCTAGCTTGAAGGGTTGCCAGAGCCTATGTGTAAAGTTCAGAGTGGCCACATTACTCCACCTTTAGACGAGTTCCTAGTCGTTCAGTCTAGTGGGATGATGAACTCGTCGACCGGTTCGGGTTTTCCTTAAAACTGATTGTTGAACGTGTTGGTTTGTGATGTCTTCATCGTTGTTGATAAGGTATGCCGGCTTCAATCGATCAACCGATACATTTGTTTTCCTCCGACAACGCAGATCTCGTAGAATTTGCTACTTCTATTTAAAATTTCATAAGGACCATCGTATGGTCTGCTTACTGATGATTTTATCGAGTCGTTTCAAATAAAATCATGTGTGCATTTAGAGAGCTCTTGCGGAACAAATACACTCTTATTCACATGCCATGCTGTAGGATGTTGACGTAGGTGCCTCATAGCCTCTCGTAATTTGTTAACTAGTTCTGTTTCCGTGCGCATATCTTTGTTTTCGACGAAAAATTCTGCTGGTAACCGCAGGGTCGTTCCGTAAACTAGCTCTGACACCGTAGCCTGAATATCGTCTTTGTGGATCCACAGACCCAACAGTATAATAGGTAAATGATCAACCCAATGAACAGTATTTTTGCACAAAATGGCTGCTTTTAGCGTTCGGTGCGAACGTTCTATAAAGTCATTGGCCTGTGGATGATATGAGGTCGTCTTGAGATGATCGATGCCTAGAACTCGAGTTAGCTCAGTAAAAATGTTGCTCAAAAATTGGCCTCCTCTGTCTGAAGTAATGTATGTGGGCACTCCGAAACGCGTGATCCAGTGAAACACTAGTGCATCAACAATTGACGTAGTGTCATGTCCGGAATCGGGATGGCTTCAGGCCATCGCGTGAACCGGTCAATGATGGCAAGACAGTACCTCTGTCCTTTACAAGACGTGAAAGGGACAACAATATCGATGTTTATGTGGGTGAAACGTTTATCCGGGAACGCGTATGACTGCAATGGCGAACGCGTGTGCCGGTTGATTTTTCCACTTTGACACTCAATAGCTCTGGTGAATGTGATGCAATCTCTCTGCATGAATGGCCACACGAATCGTTCTGCTACTTGTTTGTCAGTCGAGTTCGTGCCATGATGTGCAAGGTTATGTATAGATAACATCACTTATTTTCGAAAAGTTAGTAATAGTTTGTTGGTTCCCAGTACCGGAAACTGTTTGAGAGACAGTGAAATTTTACCTTAATAGTGGTTTTGCAGAACAGCCTGAGCTCTTCGTCGTTTGTTTGGTTGTCTGCTAAGGCGCTGAAATCTAGAGACGGTGCAAGTTGAACTGATTCAATGCGTGAAAGATTAGCTGTGACAGTAGACGGACCCTCAACGTGTCTAATGTCGGTGGTAATTTGACCAATAGCGTCGAGTTGTCGAGCTTGGCGACGAGAAGCCTTCTCCAGCTTTTGCCGGAACGCGTACCTTAAGGGTTTCTGGTCGGTGTATATGTGGCTATTTCGACCCTCCAACATGTACCGAAAGTGTGGAACAGCCATGTAAATGGCAGTTAATTCGCGGTCATAAGTACTGTACCGGACCTGTGCTTTGTCCGCGAGAAATACCCCAGGGGTTGAATATCGCCATTGACAATCTGGTGTAAAACTGCACCGGCAGCGAAATCGGATGCATCCACCCATAA